TGTCTTCTTGTGAATCTTTTTTACTGTGGACTCTGTTATTGCACAAAACAACCAGTGAACCCTAGTTAATCTATGATCTTCATGGAAAAGGTCTTACCTGTGTGGAACAGATCCCAGTCTTCTTCACCTCCCTGCCCGCTCTCCAGCACAACGTTTCTTGCAAGTATCAAAGCTCTTGGATCTCACTCTTATTCTCCTGAACCTTTGGGTTAGAGTCTGCAAAGCCTGTTGAATCAAACTCCTACAGATCCATGCTACCTCCCCTTCATCCCTCAAGTAAGCTAAGCAATCAGTCATCAGTTTTCATCAACCAACTCCTTCCTGATCAGTCTGCTTTCTCCCCTCAGACCAACCAGAAAGTTTAACTGACTTCCTGCAGTTCTCTGCTTCCAGATTCTTCTTGCCTTGTAGATAAAATTTTAAAACTGATTGGTTCTCCGCCTGATTCTGCATATGGGTTTAAAAAAACTACAAAATAAAAACATGATATTGTTGCGATAAATAATTGTTTGTAACAATTCAAATGATTTATGCTATAATGAATATTTCAGTACAGTTTATATTTCTACAACAGTATTTTTCCAAAGACATTTCAAGACTACAGCATTGTAATCATCAACTAACCTAAGTGTTGAATAACCTAAATAATGGATAATAGCAATATATATTTTGTGTTGCTTTGGTTTTCTGACTTTATTAAATACTTTAGGAGTAAAAATTCAAAACATTTAAAATTTTATTGTCATTGTTGATTAATTACAGCCCTGTAATTAGCTTGATTAAACATTTTAATTGAGTAGAACCTCTACTTTTAATTTTTCCAAATCCATGATGCGATGCAATTTAAAAGGGATCCCAGGGCTTTTGGAGGAGAATGACAGTAGGTCCAAAGCAATGTGAGTCTTACTTAACCTTGGCCATCAGGGAGCTTTTCTGCGTTTTCAATCTGTGCTTTAAACCAGACCTAAATGGAGTATTTCTCCTAAAAGTATTGCCCTGTTTGTCCCTCTTTCACTAAGGCTAGACTTTCAGGTAAATTCTGGATAATTATTTGATTAAGGCATAATTGACCAAGAACATGTCTAAAAGTTGCATAATACCAACACTGAAAAACTAGAAGTGGCCACCCCTGTTTTAAAATAAGTCCTGCTCAGCGCCTGATTATCTATCCATCTTTAACCTTCTGCCTTTTTCCCTTTGTGTGGTTTCTTTTTAAGCTCTGGTCATCTAACAGAGGCCTTTGATGGGGTTCTATCACCTTCAGATTGTATACTAGGTAGAAGGAAGGCAAGGACTAGTGAGAGGCTAAATTAATGTATCTGGGGTCAGAAACCCAATGAACAAGAAGAGGATAAAGATGAAGTATCATGTGTCTCCATGACGCATATCAACTTTAGATTAAGAAAGTTGGGCTGCTCAGTGGCACAGTGGTGCAGCCTTGCAGCAAAAAGGTTCCAGGTTAGATTCCTGGCCCGCGGTCTTTCTGCATGGAGTTTGCATGTTCTCCCTGAGCATGCGTGGGTTCTCTCCGGGTACTCCGGCTTCTTCTCACAGTCCAAAAACATGACTGTTAGATTAATTGGCTTCTCTAAATTCTCCTTAGGTGTGAGTGTGCTTTGAGTTGCCCTGCAATTGACTGGCGACCTGTCCAGGGTTTACCCCGCCTCTCGCCCGTAGATAGCTGGAGATAGGCACCAGCATCCCTCGCGACCCCAGTAGGGATATGCGTTATGGGAAATTGATGGATGGATGGGATTGATTAAGCAAGTGGCTGAAAGGCTGAAAAATTTTATGAAGGTGGGATAAATTGAAGAATAAAGTAGATTTCATGCAGCTCGAAATGTTATGACACAGAGGCCTTCAAGATCAGGGGACCTAATATGCAGACGGTGCAAAGATGCCCCTAACATGAAGAGGGAACAAGGGGAACATTGAACAACTGATATATCCCTAGGACTGTGAAAATAAAGACCTCATTGGTTTCTTTGATCATTAGAGAACTTGGGGATGTGACCCAGAAATGTAAAGGGGACTCTGGGTATACTCTGAAAAGCCCATCCCGTAGGAACACAGTCCAAGGAGAAAATAAAAATAGGCACTGGAATCTCCCTGGTCGCTCAAAATAGAACCGCTCGAATGAACATGTGAGAGGATCTTTATTCCTCATATAAACATTGAAGAAGAACCATCTCTACAAAAACAGCATGGCTCAGCTCAAACTAATGGACACTAAGTGCTTCAAACAAAGAAAGTTGTTGTTATTATAACATACAATAATGGAAAATGTTAATGTGTTTTCTTTCTGTAATCAGTAAGGGACTTTTATACAACTTAATTGCAAGGTGGAGTAATTAAAATACAAAAGGCAGGTGATTTAAAAGTGGTAAACATAATATTGCAATGATAAGAATGAAAAACCATCCTGGAATTAGAAAGAGTAACAAAAAACAGGGTTTATTGCAGCCCACCCAGCAAATAAATAACAGCAACTAAACTCTGAACTCTAAAAAGTACATCAAAGGCAAAACGCATAAAATCTTCATCTTCCCATCAGTGGCAGATATGTTTGCTGGATTGATTTTATCTTTGCTTTTCAGTCACTTTTAAAATAAAAAAAGCTCTGGCATTCGAGTCCCTGTTCTCAGAGCTGATTTAAAAACAACAGAATATGAATGAGCTGGGGACCCTGAATGAGCTTAAAAGAAAATATCGATGTCATCTAAAAATCATGTGATGAAGAGTCCAATTTCTCATCGCCATCAGCCATAAGACAGGAATATAACCCATGTTTAACTGACCACAATGCAGTAGGGAGGATGGCAAGTAAAGGGGAGGAAGGAAGCTCTAAAGATCACCATGGGATCTGCATACAGAGACATCTTAGTGTCACCGTGTCCCCATTAAACCCATTAAACACCAAATCCTAGGAAGCTGGGAAGCTTTGTTGCCATACAATCAAGGTAAATATGTGGAAACTCTTCCGGAACTTAACCAGAACTAAGGTTTTTGGTCAAATTGGACTAAGATTGAATTAGATGAATAAGTAGAAAAGCAACTTATTCCCATTTGATGGAGGATCTGTTATAGTCTAGGTTTGTGTTGCTTGGGAACAAAGTGCATTGCATCAAGGATGTTTTAATAACTGAAAATGTCTTGTGCAAAGGTCTTTTAGTGTGATATTGATATCGATACACAGCTAAGCAGAGAAAAAGCCAACCTTTTCCATCTGAGTCCAAAAACCCTAAATCCTAACAGGTCTTTACCTCCAATCTCACATATGGGGTGAGAACCTCTAGGCTGAGCTGAAGAGAATAGAATAAAAAGGAACAAGGACTTTGAACTATTTATGGCAGAAGTCTTAGACTCTCGTCCTCAGGAGCTCAGCGTTCTGCATCTTTCACCAACATCCCTGGTCCAACAGACCACAATCAATGAGCTGAATTATTCCCCCAGCAAGCAGAAAACTTCTGCAGTCCTACAAATTACAGAATAATTTCACTGAGGTGTTTCCAAGTAGAGAAACATCTAGAAGTTCCACAACAGTGGCCCACCAAGACCAGAGTTTAAGAAAGAAGAATGGTCACAGATTTCTTCCATCTGTATGAACCAGAAAATGCAAAATTTTATAGAAGATTAAGTGGGATCAAGTCCGCGAAAAAAGGTTTTGAAGTTATGATAAATGGATTCACCATTTTATTTGTTGATATTAAAATGAACATTAACAATATACCAAGACAAGTTTTTATATAATTCATTTTCAATTTATTATCATGATAAAATGAAAATAAATTATTCATCTTTTACACTTATATGTAATATAATCTCAGTAGTATTAATCCATTAGATCGAAACATTGGATGCATCCACTGAATAACTGTACTCAAATAAAAGGTAAATTGTTTTGATTCGTAAATATTAAATTTTTTTATGCAATACATGTTGATTTATTTTAAGCCTTATTATGCTTATTTACCAGGGGTGCCAGTGAGAATAAATCTTTGTCAAAGTAGGTATACTATGCACAGCTTGTTAAAACAATGGTTTCTATAGCCGGCTCTGCAGGTGTTTAGCTTTAAATAAAACACAGTGGCCTTAGGGTCCTGATCTGTGGAAAATGCTGCTATGGAGCCTTCGATATCTCAACAAAATAACACAGACAAACTGGGCAAAGAGGAAAGCCTTTCAGTAAACCCCCAGAGGGTGTCTGGAGGGTTTGAACTGGGATGAAAGCTATTGGGGGAAAAACATTTGCCTTGTAGAGCTCACAGCGTCACTTCCAATGTTGAGTTGATTCAGCTGGTGAGAGAAGATTTTCCCATCTGGAGGTTCTTCAGTAGCATTGGCTTTGTTTAATATGAAACGGGAAACACCAAACAATCAAACATGTGATGCAAATTATGGAAAAGAGAGCCATCTTTACCTTTAAAAAAGGGACCAATAAATGAACTGGAGCTGCTGTTTGAGCTGAGAAACAGTAAAAGTGTGGGCAGAATCTTCCCAAAAAACTGTAGAAGGGAGTTATGTGTTAGTTAAGTGTGATAGTGACTTTCAAAAATTAGCTAATATATATATATTTTTGGTTAAAGTCATCTTCTTAACTACGTTGTATTTGAATTTAAATTGAAATATTATGACCAACTTATTAAGTAATTCACAGCTTTTAAAAAATTAAGATAAAAAGTGTGGTGCCAGTTTGCAATTAAGATCCATAATTCAAATACAACTAAATACATACAACTGTGGTTTGAAAAGTAATCTAATTATTAATTAGAATTCAACTGTCTGGTTTTGTAAAGTATTGGCTAACGGAGGCTAAAGGACTGATCAAATGTATGCCACACTTTTTAGATTTTTTTTTAAAGCTTCAAACTTTGCTTTTTTCTCCTTAAAACATTGCACTATATTATTTTGGTGTATTATAAAAATGTATTGAACCAAAATTTAGTTTCACGGGCTATATATATTTTTTAATCACTTTTACTCGCTAGTAATCTTCTTACCTGTGCACGTTCATCTCCTGAGGGGGTTTGGTGGCTTTATCATAGGCAACTTTAGCAGAAATCCCAATGGCGATGATGAGCGCAATGACCCCGCAGGTGATGTACACCGTAGTGTTGGTCTGGTCCAGCGCTGGGTCGTATGTGTCTCCTGTGGGCGCTGGTGAAGGGGGCTGGGTTTTGATCCAGTCCGGGGTGTTGTAGTTGGTGCAGCTCTTCTGCTCCAACCGCTTCCCGCGATCCGCACAGCAGAAGCGCAGGAAGCAGCTGCCGCAGCAGAAGCGGTGGTCCGTGTTATTACAGGCGAACTCCTTGTCGTATTGGCCACTCACGTCGTAGTAGCCCATGCAGGTATCATGTTGACCCACGGAAGGAGCTTGGACCTGGGTGATTTTCCGCGGGATAGCGGCGGGGAGCGCGGTGGTGCTTGCGTTCACCTCCTTCACTTTCGGGTTCCTCCTCGGCGGGGGTTTGCTCCTCTTGTTGGCGTTGGCGGCAGCGCACAGGACATTTAGGGGGTCTAAGTAAATCAAAAGAAGCAGGAGGTGCTTTATCCCCATCATGTGAGGAGGCGCTGGTGTTGCCTTGTTGACCTCCACTTCCTTCTGCACTGTGTGTTCTGCTCTGTCCTTCTCTTCCAATTCTTATCGAGTGGAAACTCTTGCGCTTTTCTTCATCTCAGGGACTCGCATTGTTGCCAAACTCAAACTCTCGGACGTTGAGCGGCTGTTATTCTCCTCATTGGACATATTTTAAAACTTTAGCGATCCAATATATGGACTGATTTCAGATAGATGTTGAAATGTAGAAGGTTACTTTTTTGGAAACTGTGCGTAAAGAGACGAAATAACGACACGAAGTCCCCTTGTAGAAATCCGTTTTTGTCCGAATTTGTCGATGGATTGCGCTGTGGAGAGGTAAGAGGATGGTCATTAAAGCGTCGCTACTATAAACTTCATTGGGGACTGAATAAAGACAGAATAAATGCGGAATGAAACTCAGAAGAGTTTCAGCACCACGGACAGCGCCCAAGTCCTCATTAGGATTGTCGGATCGCAAAGAATTGGAATTAAAAGTGTAGTTTTACTTCTAATATCTTCAAAAATTGGAATGTATCTGTTTTTACTCGATTATATACATCACTTGTGTGTGCATTCGATGCGGATTAAAACTGCACATCCTCCATTTTACACAAACTTCTGATTATTACACTTCCAACCAGTTCCTCTAAAATAATTTACCTTAACTTTTGCTCTTCTGTCAAAAAACTAAACAAATAGTTAAACGGATAGCTAGCAGGTTGATAAGTAGTAGAAGGAGACTTACAAGCTTCGGAGTGGCTGGTAAGCGCCGCGCCGTCTCAGCTACTGAATCAAAGCGCCTTGGTAAGACAAGAGCCAAGACCTCTCTCCCTCCTCTCCGGCCCGCCTCCTCTCTCTCTGCGGTCGGCCCTCCACCCTCCCATCCTCCGGCCGCGTCACCAGATCAAATACCCCCGTTAACGACCAAATCGCCACTCCACCTACCCGGCCGCGTGCCTGCAGGTTTCACTTGATTCAGGAAAAAAAATCTGAGTTTAGGAAAACTGTTAAGGAAGAGGAGATGCGTTTTGGCGCAGACCTAGAGTTTCTCTGCGTTAGGGAATATTCCAACAATGCTTTGAGGGGGTTGGGTAGATAACAGTGAAAAGCACTGGGCTACAGTTTTAAGTTTAGTTTAGTTTACCTTTATTCAGTGGTTAAATCTAAAGAAAACGCAGAACTCAAAATACTTTGCAAGGCATTTGGATGCTGTTCAAAAAAACCGTAATTTTATTCATGTATCTGGTTACACAACAATTAAATGAATGCATTTCGGTGGGAGGATTCTTTCCTTTGTGCCTACTGAAACTTGGTGATGTTTTCAGATGAGTAAGCTAAAACATGCTATAGTTGCACCATGCTGCTAAGTCTTCAGAAGGGGAATGGTAAGACAAGGCTGGGTTGAAATAAGAAAAAATGCACAAAAAAAACAACAACAAAAAAACTGCATGATCCATAATTGCAGAGGAATATTTCCTGTTGGAATAAGACATATTACCCCTACCTGCTGCACATCTGTTCTTTTATCAGCCCAGGGCCAGTAGCATATTGGAATGTAATTAGCACAAGTTGTTGAATGCCTCTCTAACACCATTTACCAAAAAAAGAAAAAAAAAGAAAGATAATTTAAAAACAGGAAGAAAGAAAACCAACAAAATATTGATTTTCATTTTAACTACTGATTTTAGACTGGCACATCCAAGGTCCTTTTTTGATAATGTTTATACTACTTGTGCATTTAAAATAATGATTTCTTTATAATATGCTAAATGAAGGAGAAGAGACAGTTTGAAGCATTTTAGCACAGTTTCATCTCAGCTGCTACCGATGAAATCTGCTCTGTGAACAAAACTGACAAACTGATAAGACATAAGTACTATTTCCCTCATCTTTTAAATAATTTAAAGAAGAAGAGGTTATTTAATTGTATGCATCAATTGTTGTACAAGTGACTTACCTTTCTACTCGTCTTACTTGTCTAAGGTGTTTTTTTAACCTATAAGATTCTCCAGATGCCTGAGAACCTTTAATGGGTCCTTAAAGAGGAAAACTAAATGTTGCACTTAAGGCTATATCATAGGTTAAAATGTATAAACTGAAGTGGGTTTTTAGATATATGTCTAGTAAAAAGTATTTCTAAATAAAGAAATTAGCAATTTTTATTATATCTTCTATTTACCCTGCTTCAGGATAGGTCTGTTAATCTGTTAATGTTGCAATTTTAACACTAAGTTATATATTGATTCAGCCTAAAAATAATAGAACTACTCTAAAGACCATCTTAGGGTATCAGGTGGTAAAAAAACTAAACAAGGGGGGATTTAAAAATCCCTCTCAGTAACAACACGCTTTTGCTCGTTCTGGGGGATCTCAAGTAATTTGCCGCCCTGAAGGAATAGATAAATGGTCTCTGCATTGTTTTCCTGATCTGCCCTTAGATTTCCTCTATAAGGGGGAAGGTGTCTGGATCACCTTTAAATCAGGGGTGGACAATTCCAGTCCTTGCGGACCAGTATCCTGCAACTTTCATACGTGATTTAGGTTCAACACACCTTAATCAAGTAATTAGAAGACTGAGAGGACTCTGCAGGAACTGACTGCATACTGAGAAGGTAACACAGCCATTTGATTTCGGTGTGTTGATGGATGTGAAAGTTGCTGGATCCTGGCCCCTGGGACCTGAAACTGTGCACTGTTGCTTTAAATGGAGGTTCCCTAAACTGTGGCAGAATTTGGAAAATGAAAATCTCTGTTCATCTTCCTTTCCTTTTCTTTTTTTCACCTCTTCATTTTCTTCATGGATTCTTTTTGCAGTAAGATGAACTTATTCAATGTAGTCGAGACTGAAGACATGTTTTCTGATTGCATTTTAGCAAAATTATTTAATCAAAAAATAACTTAATTTTCTATTAAAAAAATAACATACAATAAAACTGTATTAATTATATCAGCATGAGGAGTTTTATGGGGCCCTCAGGAATGTGGAGCCCTAGGCCACCGCCTACTTGTGCCTAAATGTAGCTTTGCCCCTAGCCTGAAGGTGACTTGGTTGAGTGCCTGAACCCCCCCTTTGACGTGGAGGAGCACTAACTCTACTCTCTGCTCATCATAGATGATGCTGCTTCTCAACCTATGGTTGCCATATGTTTACATTGAACAGAAAAAACTGGGTTTAGAAGTTTGTATCCAGCATCTCTACAATATGTTCATTACATGTCCCCAAACTGTAGGCAAGGGCTGGATTGTAGCTGGACTGATGAATACAGAGATTTATTTAGCTTAGCTCATAGCTTATTGTTTGTCACAATAGAGCAAACCAGGACAATACCATTTTCCGACTTTGGAAAGAAAAGCAACAAACCATCCATCCATCCATTTTCCGTCAAGCTTATCCCAAGCGGGGTTGCGAGGGGTGCTGGTGTCTATCTACAGCTACGGACGAGAGGCGGGGTTCACCCTGGACAGGTCGCCAGTCCATCGCAGGGCAGCACAAAGACAAACAGTATAAACAACCATTCATGCACACACTCACACCTAATGAGAATTTAGAGAATCCAATTAACCTAACCATCAGACCAGAAGTGCATCAAACCAGAGGTGGATAATCCAGGTCCAGAAAATAAAAACCCTGCCTTGTTTTCCTTCATCCTATTCACGTAACCAAGTGATGTCTGCTTTGTGGAGTTGGAAATGGATATAGTTGAAACTGATCTCTGTACAGGCCTTTAACTTTCTGGAGCAGGACCTGGATTATCCACCTCTGCATCAAACATTTAGAAGAGCTGATTATAGTGCACCCTAAACTAGTGATTGTGAAATGAAGCCTCATGAGGCACTTGAACTGTTTGGCTAAATGCTTCAACAATACCCACAGTTCATGAAGCCTCATGTGAAAATGTCACCACCTATCTGTGGAGTGCAGAAGTACAGTTAGTAATATAATCTGATTTTTTGCAATTGTTTTTCTTATTTTTTTTCCCCCCCACATAAGTTCCTTTGAAATAGTTAATGATTGGTCTGTATAATAAAATATTTTGTAAGATATTTGTGTGTAAAATGTCTTAGAAGAGAAAAATCAATGTTTTCCTGCCATTTTTGTGAAATAAGCTCAAGCAGTCATTTTATTTAGACATGATAGTTTTTGGTTTTAATCGGGTTGAAAGTTCTGTGTTCAACCAATCTTTTGGTCAAAACAATCGATTGTACTTTGGCAGTGTTTTACCCAATCTATATTGGTACTAGGACAAACCAACACAAATTAATCACATTAGCCATAAAAAGTCTGATGTGAGTCTTTGAACCGTCAATCTCAAGAGTGGGAGTCCAACTCTTACAGCTCATGCCTCTAACAAAGTGATGATGATTCTGAAAGCTTAAAACCCATTACATCTATAATCAGCGTGTTGCTCAGATTTTGATCATTACATTGTTTAATCTGACCAAACTAGTTTTTAACTTACTAGATCAGTTGTTTTTCCAACTAATCTATTCTTAGAATATATCCAAACTCCATCCAACTGACAGTAACTCTCCTACAAACTCCTACATCTTGAATTCCTGGCAAGCTGAACTACTTCCCGAAACGGTCACATGGTATGGCAGGGCAGTGAGGCTTTGGACGTCTCTATTTTGGCTTCTCCCCCAAATGAAGCAAGCCAGCGATATGCACCTTGCGGAAACGCCCCCTCTATTACTCAACACTCGCCTTGAAGCCTTGGTTCATCTCATAACATCACTACCTTAAAGGCTTTATATGTCAGGTTCTGAAGGTTTGAAGAGGACTGAAATGCAGAGAATGAAGCTGAATGGGTTTCTTGCAGATTTAATAACCCAAAAGGGTGACAACTGAGGGGAAAAAACAAAAAATAACAAAATACAGAAAACCAAGAACTAGAAGACTTCAGAGAAAACTCTCCTGAGGGGCAAAGAAATTATGAGGAACCAGCAAAGAGTGACCAAACAGAAGGAGTACATATGGCATAAAGAAACAATGGGAGGACTAATTGCCAGACAAGTAACAGGTGTGGAAAGGAGAATCTAAAAGTGAGCTAGGGGAAAGAGACTGACACAAGAGGGCAACAGAGAGTAAACAAGAAATACAAAGGGACTCAAATACAACCAAAAAAAACTACAATAACACAAAATGGTGATGAAACCAGTGAAAACTAAAAAAGAAAACTTAAACAGAACCAAAACCATGACATTAGATTTAAGGTCCAAAAACTAAAGATAACCTGATCTCACAATTTCAGGTTTGTTTTCAGAAATGCATATTTCATCATAGTTTTTAATCATACAGTAACTATGTTGTAACATCATTTATTTATCAATCATGCATGTAGAGATTCCCAGCCTTGATTCATGCATCTCTGACTAATCCTTAGAAATCTTGCTTTGTGAGCAGCCGCTCCTTGCTGTCTTTGAACACGAGGGTCCATCACTGTTTTACATTGAGCAGTGATTATCCCAATCTTTTAGGAAGCGCCTACCTTGACCGAGCTGCAGCTGCTCAGTAAACAACATGCCCACTTTCACATATTAGTTATTGGTGATGGGAGGCAAAGCATGATCTCCTCTGCTTAAAGTTCTCCATTTGAGCAGATTAGCTACTTGCTTTAGCAGCTGAACGGCACAATGACAGCAACTGTTATTCTGTTAGGTTGTGTCTAGATCAAGATAATTTGTTTGTTTCTTTGCTCAGCTTTATTAAAGTTGTGTCATAATATCATTTTGCAGCAGCTCCATGGTAAGAGGGCAGCATCAAAGTGACAGTCTTTTTTCTGGGTTTGAAAAATTGCACAAGAAAACAAATAATATCTCATAACAACTAAATACTCTGTATTAGTAATATTTGATCATATACATTCCTTCAGTTCAATTTG